GGATTCGATCCCAACTCACCCTTACAACCAAGTAGCTAGATGTTACGCATAGAGCTGCTGCAGACCTGTTCACGGGCCGGGCCGGGCCGTGCCGAGATCAGGGTTTGTAACCCTACCTTTTCCTTCCTTTCCATGCATTTTCCTTCAAACCAAACATAATCTTACAGTTTGACCTGCAGTTATCAAAATTATCCTTACAAATTAGTAGGACATCTTTTAATATAATTCAAAATATCAGATTTGCCCTTCTAAACTTCACTAGATCTAACATTTTTATAAAGTAAATTATTTTATTCTTTTTAGTCAAACTCGAGGATTTTTTAATTAAAAGTGAAAAATTCTTTTAGAGGCATTTTTAGGGTTGAACAAATAGTTTATTTGGTTAAAAACCGAATCCAAATTTTTCAGTAATTTCAGTTAAAACAGAATTTTATCATTATATATTGTACATATTATATTTGTACAATATATTAAAAATATATTATACAATATATATAATAAATTATATATTTTTAATATATAATACAATACAATATAATATATATTATACATATTATATATGTATTATGTGCTAATTTATATATTATATAGATAATAAAGTTTAGTTTATTTGGCTTTTTCGGTTAACCAAATTTTCAAACCTGAAAATTGAAACCGAAACAGAACTTTTATAAAACCAAAATAGCCAAAATTCGTAAAAACCAAACCAAAAAACCAAAACCAAAATTTTTAGTTTGGTTTAAATCGGACAATGCTCACCCCTATGTATTTTAATTAATTTCCATATTAATTGATAGATATAAGGGTAAAATGGGTACTTTTGAAAAATTAATGCATTTGGCCAACATTTTTCTTCCATGACAATAAGAAAAGAACAGTAACTATTGAAGGAAGGTAGTATCCATCATATGGATGGTCGAACCATGATAGATGGGTGGGCGAAATTTCAAAAAAAAAAAATCTTTAACCTTTTGGGAATCGTATTCCCAATTTAAGAAAAACTGCATTTTTTATGATCGATCTTACACTGAAATCATACCAGATTTGAAACCAAACAAGAGGGAGATGTATACCTAATACGGATTCCACAAATGTATCTCCCAAAGGTGGTAGTTCACACACAAATCAAATCCCAAAACTAGCTTCCACTGAAATGGCGCAGCTTGGAGTGAAGTCGATTCAACAATGCAGTTTTCAGCAAAACTGCAATCCAACACCTTGGATCGAACTAGGGAGGTGAGCATGAGATTTCTCTGAATTTTTCTTACAAAAATCAGAGAGAAAGAATTGATCTTTATCAATCCCAAAGCTGTAGTCGAATTGGGAGAAAACAGGGAAACAAAAGGGTGCAGAGAGGACTATAAACTACAAAAAATATGAAGTTGTCTTGCACTAGTCTGCTCCCTCCTCTTTTATAAACTCTTATGGAGCTATCTCCTAATCAAATAAGGAGATAATCCAGATCTAAATCAGATATGGACTCTCTTTAAAGATAGACCTTATCTTCTTATAAAATTAGGTGCTCCATACCCAGATCCAAACCCAAATTCGCCCCATGTCACATGACTGCTTTAAGTTGTCATATGATATCTTGATTAATCACATTAATCATGGGCTTTAGAACCACTAGATGTATGGCTCACAACCCAAGAGCGTTGCTGGCCTATTTAGGTTTAATATGTATGGTGTGGGACCCCAACAATGACCTCACATAAGCCCACATGGGTTCGGCCCAACCTCTTTGAAAAGGCCTGGCCGAATTCACTACCAAATGTAGTGAACCCTTGATCTCATCACTATGGGCTCAAATGGGCCCAACATTTACTATTAAATTATCCTTGAATCCAACCATCCTATGAAGACCCAAATGATCAAACATTAATGGTCTCTTACACTTAACCTCTTAGCCCATAATGATCAAACACTATCAGACAAGAAAGGACCCCTCCCCTAACTGCAATGTGCAGTGTCATAGTCTCTGCTTGAATGGATCCTGGGATTTAAAACCTTTTGCAAACACTTTTTTTAAAACATAATATCACACACTCAAGTAAATTCTCAGACTGCCCCAACATACCAAGTTTTGACCCACAAAGGATCTTATTGATTGGCATATCAAAGGAAACCCAATTCAACACCCAGTGCAGTACCATAATCAAGTCTAGGGGTTATGTGTAACTTTCCAATTTTGCCCATCAATCTCCAAGGTCCAAGGCATAACTGGAAAATGGTCTAGGTCCAATGTTTTAAACAAACACACACTACATGTGCTTCGGGTACCCTAGCAGCTGAGACAAGTTGCTCCAACTTCTTTGGTAGCACATCAACGTCARCCTTGGCAGGATAAACTCCCCAAGTCTATCCAACGGTTGAGAACATTATAAACTAACACAAGTCTCATAAGTGTCTAGTTTAAGGGGTAATTTCACATAAGCATACCAATGGCAACATGAAACAATAATATACTTTAATTCATTTACAATAAATGTTTTCGTACATCAATTTGATTGGAACTAAGGGCATACACTGTTTAACAACTATAGGTTTTTTCAATATTACAATGAAGATTTTTGTAAAAATGAAACCTTAGGGGAGGTTTTTATGATTGTCAGAAACCATGAGGGAGGTTTTTATATTTTACCCTAAACAAAAAATGGCCAGGCCCAAATCCGAGCCTAGCTTGACCATCGGACCTAGATATTAAGTCTAAACCTAGCCTTATATAAAGCCTAAAGCCTAGGCCCGAATTGGAAACTCGATCTAGACTAGGGTTTTTCATGGCTTAACTTGATTCAATTATATATAATTTTGACAACCAAACTGAACATCTCAACTGCCATACCAATTGAAACCAACCAAAATGGAAAAAGAACCAACGTAGAATAGGAAGTCTCGGGTTATTGATTTGATCAGGTTATACCAAATTGGCAACTCCTTGGTCCTAATTTGATTTTGGCCAAGACCCAAGAAAATAAATCTGATGTAGCACGATCTGGTCACTCCTAGCTGGCAGGGGCCTCACTCCTAGCTAGCAAGGGACAGCACCTGAGAAGGAGAAGAAGACGAAGGATTCCCGAGGAGCTCGCCTGACAGGAACACTCCGATGGTTAAGTTAGAACTCGGTGGAGAGCTTAGAGATTGTAAAGGAAAATGAGCTAAGAGTGAAGATGTACACTTACTCAAAAAAAATTCCCCTCTGCCCCTTGGGAATCGGGGCCTTTATATATTGATGCTTTGTCAAATCGGGTGTAACCACCTCTGATTCTCTGCTATAGTCGTTATTCGCCAGGCTGATTCGATTGGTGTAGGTAACCGTCGTAGAGTATGATCCCGTTAGTTGAGAGACGTTATGCAGAGCTGGCGTGCACGCCGCAGCCTGACGTGAGACGTGGGCGCAGTCCTCTGGACTGGCAGGTGCTGCGCCACCAGACAAGAGATGTGGGAGCAGTCTAACGGGCACGGTCTTGTCAGATGAGAAATTTCCCGAAGACTCCGGGTTACTCAATAGCGAGCTGCCTTGCAGCAAACTGTTCTGTAGCGATCTGTTCAGCTGGGCTTTCAGCGAGCTCATTACGCCGAGTTGTAGCCAAGTTGTCATGCTAAGCTGTCACTTACGTCGAGTCATGTCCACGTGTCACCTGGTTAGGAGGTCGGGTCAAATCACCCTCCATCAATTGCCCCCCACTCCTCAGGCTAAGGGTCTTGCTCTAGCGTGGGGAGTTAATGAAATGATGGGTGGATTTGACTCGCAATTCAAAATACTTTGACCGACCGTGCGTGGTTTTCAGGTTTTTTGGGCGCCAAAAAACGTGCCAAAACTGTCTTCGGTTTCGGAAGATGTGTGGCCATCTTTATTGTGAGCCGTTGGATTCGCTTTAGTCGGAGTTGTTGGCTTTCGGGCACAGTGGCTATAAATAGGAGGTCGCGCCTTCACCTTGTTTGCTCGAGCTCTCCCCGTTCACGTCGCTTTCTCAGATCATTTTTTTTTGTGAGTCCCCTGTCTTGTCCAATAGTGTCTGGGTACCCATGGGACAGTAGCCAGGGCAAGGTCCTCTCGAGCTCGGGGGGAGCTTGGGGTTTCCCCGAAGGGCAGTCTTTGGAGGCTCGGGAAGCCTTCGGTAACTTGGCTTCCACTTCTCGGGGTCGGGACCCGGATAGCTTTGGCCCTTCGTCCATGTCTATGGAGAGACTTTAGGCCCCATTCTTTCATTACAACCTCCCCAGGGATCTTATTTACAGCCTCCCATTCGGCAACTATCCCTGAGAACACGATCACGACGAGATCGTGATTTTTGAAGACCAGCTTGTGGCTGGTCTCCGACTCCCTCTACACCCTCTGATAGTGGAGGTTCTTTCCCACTTCAATGTCACCATAGACAAATTGCATCCGAACTCTGTTAAGAACTTGGTGGGGACTATTTCCCTGTTCTTTGAGTACTATCTTCCTCTTTCCCTCGATACCTTTGCCTCTATCTTGTCAATTAAGAATGCCTCCCCCGGAGCCCCTCCAGAAAGGCGCTCTTATTACTTTTCCCCCGTCAAGGCATCAAGCTCCTCCACGAGCTGCCTAACAGGATCCCAGCCTAGAAGCGGGGTTATTTTGTAGTTCGCAAGCCCGAGGGGTGGCCCTTTCCAACCCACTGGAGGGCCGCCATTTAGGATCCGGGCGTTGACTTGGACTCGAAGGTTCGGGAAACGCTGCAGTCCTGGGCAGGGGTTGGCTTTCTCTGTTCGGATTACTTAGCTAAGGACAAGCTCGTGAAGGCCAGCCTGAGCCCCGGTAGGTTACCTTTTAGGTCGCACAATGCCTTGTGATTTTTTTTTTCAAAGTTAGTAATGAAATGTTTTTTCTTTTTTTCTTTTTTTTTTCTTTTGCGAGATGGACTAATGCCTTGTGATTCTTGTAGCCAACATGTCTGGTGTGGATGCACGTCGCCTATTGTCGAGCAACTAGAAGCGTAGGGYGAAGAGGTCGCGCC